ATGATTTTCAAAAAGATCACTAATCCATATAGAGTTATAGTCATCACTACTATTCCCTGATCATCACGCAAATGCTCATGAATGAAGTCTCATAGAAAATCCCATAGAATACCTTTACTTTCGCCTCTTGTTTTAATACATGCGTCAACTTAAAGCAAGCTGAGTCCAAGCATTTGCATAAGCTTTTTATGATAATCTACCTTTTTTGACCAATAAATCTTGTCTGGATTTGACAAATCAAAGTGAAATAAGACTAAGTACTTTTTAATTGTTAGTACCATATTTATTTCATTGAAGATGAAGCATCTATAAGAAGGATCCCAAAACTATAGAACAACTTTATCAGATTATTATCCACATCTACTTAGAGTAGTAAAGCTATATCCCCATATTTATTTTCAAATACCTTCTATCTTGTCTTACTCATGTATCCCCAAACATTGCTTAAGTCAACTAGGTCATTTTGTTTGAGATCGAGATGAACTCTTTCAGGCAATGATGAGATAAAACCCTAAGGCAAGCAATTACCCTATTTTTTTTGACCTTCTTTTGACTTGATTTTCAACTAGTGAGCAGATTCATAACAAACTCATGCAGACTTTGATTGTATTTGGCTTTCCATGAATATAGCTATTAGATCTAGTTTATCAATAACTGATATGTAGCAAATATTCCCTATATGAGAATGATGCAAATGCACAATGTTAAACATAATAATGAAAATAATGCATAGAATTAAATGATATGACAATGCAAACACTATAATAATTGAAATGATGCAAATGCACAACACAAAGTCAAACAAAAAAATGGTTAGATAATCAATATATCACATAAATTATTCCTTTTTGTGTCCTAACTTTAGGTTATATCTATCAGTAGGTACTAATGGTTTTATCTTAAGACGAGCTTTTTAAGTGTAGATTATATACTGGGCTAAGTGATTTTGATCACTAAAGGTTCCTAAATTGTTCCTTACATCATTGTTCATCATAAAACAGTAAGGCATTCCAATCTTTACCCATCACAGACTACCAACAAAAAAGATTCAATTTGATTAAAAGTATTTCACTAGCTATTGTGGAGATTATCATTTCACAAGAGTGTAGTTACTTTACTCCTTCTTACAAGAGACAGAGCTCGGGTATAGAGTTCATGTAATACAAATGCATATGATAGTGTGTATGAAGGAACATATAATTTTCAAACCCCCATAAATTAAAGACAAAAAGAAAAAATGTTAGTAAACAATCAGTATAATTTAAAACCATTAGCTCAAAGGATAGAATAAATTTAAATGTTATGGTCTGACTCTCTATTAGTTTCCAGTGGAGTTACTAAACTATTATAACGTATAGATCCATAAACCTATAGCTAGACACAATCTACGGAGTCACCACTAATCTTTATATCTAAGTGTGATTGGCTATCTAATGAATCTATCATCTAAAGGAGTTTTTAAGCTTGACTAAGGGTCCTTAAAAGAATAGGTTCTAGTCTATTAATCAAAACAGGGTTAGGGAGTTCAGTTACATATGGTACCATTTTATTTTAAATTATCTTAAGTCTTGATTCTAATGGTCTTCTATTGACATTTAAATATTGAAAATAACTTTTAAGATTCTCCATAAATCTTGTAAAATTTTTAAAATATTTTCTTACCTTAAGAGTATTTAAGAATCCCATTTGTTTTCTTGAAAATGCTCCATCATTGGAAAGCTTAATCAATTTTATTTTTTATTAAAAATATATCTAATTCTTTTACCATTTGGGTTAAAAATAGAAATATTTTCTCATCAAAAAATATCTTAGATAATCATTAATTTGTGATTACTAAGAATTTTATCATTGGAATTTATTTTTACAATTTTTATTTTTTATTTATAAATTTTTTACCATTTGGGTTTATTTAGAAAATTTTCTTAAAAGTTTCATTTTTAAATTTTTCACAATTTGGGTTAAATTTAGAATCTAAACTCTTGTTAGTTTTTAATTCTTGGAAAGACAATAGTATGGCAATTTTTTTTTTAAGTCTCATTTAAATTTTTTCACCATTTGAGTTAAATTTAAAAAAACTTTTTTGTACATAGGAATCTTATGAAAATTCAATCATTTTTGATTTTTTAAAGATTTCATTATTGGATAATTGTCAAATATTTTCACTCACATTTTTAAGTTATGTTTTTAATTTTTAATTTTTTATTTGAAAAAAAATGCAATTACTTTTATTAAAATTTTTTAAAAATTATTCTATTATTTGGATCAAATTTAGAGAAAATTTTCACCTAGAAATTTTGATAAAAATTAACCTCTTGTAATTTAAAAAAAAATTTTATCATTAGATAATTATTATTTATTCTCAAAATTTTATTAATATTTTATTTTCTTTTATACTTTTCTTCTTTAATTTTCTTAAAAATTAATCGTGCAGAATATTTTAAAAATAAATAAATAAAATATAATAGTATAAAACAAAAATGAATAACAAATAAAAAACAAATTCCAAAAAAAAAATAAAAAATTAGCTCGGCTTAGTTGGCATGGCATGACGCGGCTTGACTATAGGAAGGATGGACAACTAAAGCCGCTTACACATCAACTTGGTTCGGTTGCAGGAAGGATGCTGGGAGTGGCTCGTGAATTGGCTCACACATAGGCGTGGGTCGGGCACAAGAAAAAGTGCGGATCTTATAAAAACTAAACGCAAAAAATGATGTTGTTTGGTAGACATTTAAAAGGGCCAAATTTTTTTTTCCTCAAATTTCTTCTTCTTCCTCCCTCTTTCTCTTCTCTTTTCTTTGTTTTCTTTCTAGAAAATTGATGAATCTCTGGTTGAATCTTCAACGGATTCTAGAAACCTTGGCCAGAATCTGGTAATCCTTATCGGAATGTCACCGAAATCTACAAAATTCTTCAAAAAGTCGTCGTAATCTAGAATTCATCGTCAAAAAATTAAAAATTTTGGAAATTTCCAAAGTTTTCCAAAAATAAAGAAACGTTTAAAATTGCCAATTGAACTCCTTGAATTTCTCGAATCATTCAACCTAATCAATCTCACAATTACTCCAAAAACTCCAAAAAAAATTTGATAAAAGCTTTGTTATACTCAACCACCCTATTCTCTCTATTTTTTTTTTTGCTGATCTTGTATTTTTTCTACTATTTTCTTCTATTTCGTCTCCCTTTGATTGCTTCTAGGTTCATATTTATAGGGTTTCAAATTATAAGAAACCTAAATTAAAAAAAGTTTCAGTTTTCCTTTAATTCGAACTTCAAACTTTGATTTTAACTTAAACTTTATAATTAAAAAAAAAAACAGTCGTAAACAAATTGGACCACCCCCTAAACTTTCTTAACTTTTCTTTTTACATTTTTTTTACATTAGAAAAAATGAACCAAACAATAACAACTCCAGACAAATTAGGGTGTCTACACTAGTCAAACATAATATTATCGTAGATTGTGATATTATAAAAGAATAATATCTAAAATTATGATACAATTACGATATGATATAAGATTCTTTTTCTTTAATTGTTAAGAGTTATCTATATATAAATAAAAATTCTTGTTCTTCTTACCTTTTCTCTTACTCACTACACAAACATTATTATTTAAAACTTAACATATTCACACAAATACTTATTCTAAAATGCAAATCAGAGCCTATTTTTAGGAATCTTTAGTCAAGTTTAAGACTTTCTCAAAGAAATATATTAACCTAGGTGATCAATCACATCTATATATAAAAAATATTATTGGCGACTCTTAAATCATATCTAGCAAGAGGTTCACAGGCCTATACATTATAACAACACTATTATTTAAAACTTAATATGCTTAATTATCAGAAATGATCAATTGGCTTGAGGACGTACAATCTAATTTTGTTGGTAGTTTGAAATGTGGTGCATCCCATATTGGGCAGAAAGATTTAATTATTGATGAATAAAATTAA